TAAAAATATACGATATAAGTTTATATTCACAATCATTCACATGAAATATAATAATATTTACATATGCTGTTATTCATAACATTGTTATAGTATATGACATAATTGATATACAACTACGCTAAAAAAATTTATATCGTTTCATCAAATAGCTTATAGTTGACAATTTTCTAAAATTTAATATATTCGATATTACATTTGATGAATAGCTTTTGTAAAATTAAAAAAAGGAAATTAAAATCATTAATTAATATCAAAGAAATTAGTTTTCCAATGTTTATTATATCATACAAATAAAACAATGCTGTCTCGTGGCATGTTATTATATTAATATTTTGCTATAAACTATATCTTGGTTGCAAACGATAAAAACATGGCGCCCAATCGGCCTGCTTTGCAAGACAAGTGACTCTAGTGAGTCATAGCATACAGTTCAGTTCAATTTACGAGAAAGCAGGTTGCACAAAATTTTGTCAGGTAAACAACTTTATTCGCAAACATTTCCACGAAACTAATTTCATAAGATCAATTTTATAGCATTTTTTTTTTAATTAAACAAACTGTATCATGCATAACTTCAAATTTCTTTTAAATGACAAGAAATTTTAAAACATTAAATGTTCTCATTGTAATTCATATTATCATTAGAAACAAACTTGTTTCAATTCGAAATAGAACTAATAATGTTCATGAATATTATAATTAGTAAGTTGGAATTATTCGATTGAATCCGATTCCCTGGTTTCGGACCGACCGTATCTATACGCACGCTCGGTGTAAAGAAAAAAAAAAATGGAGTCACTGGTCGATCAATCAGTAAATTTTTTTCCTCGATTTTTTTTTTCTTTCCGCACAGATATTACATTGCTTGGTAAAGATGATACGTACTTTTCTCTCGCTTGAGAATCCGAGGGTACCGTGGACCCCTTCCCCTTCGCATACATCCTCGAAGACTGTCAATTTTTCCAGTATAAACAGAACCACCGTTTCGTTCGAGCCAGTAATGTCCGACACCACCGTAGGTCCCACACGAACGGGGAAAAAGAAGAACTTGAATGTACCCGTAGATGTTTTCAGGTCTCGTGAAACAATTATGAAAACGTGTATACACTAATTCTAACGGAAAAAACGAAATGAGTTGAAAACGTGAATTATTTTCCTATCGGTCACACACACGTCACGAACACGTCGTACCACAGCCGCGGCCAGCAGCCTATACTAGATACAGTACTTCGCATCATGGCTCGGCGAATTGCGGACGCATGACCGCGGAACGAACGCGCGTCGTCATCGTTCGTAGACTTCGCACTCTTCTTCTTCTTTCTCTCCCCTCGATGCAGCAGCTCACTTTGCCTTTCTTTTTTTCTTTTTCTTATATACTTTTTCACCGATTATTGAAACCTGTGCGCCTATACCGTCGCGTCTTATAATTCAACATAAACGGCAGCGCGTCCTCTCACTGCGATACCGAAGTTGCGCTCGGTCACTTCACTCTCTTCACTCTCTTTAGCTTCGGCTCGCCACTCACCTTACCTCACCTCACCTCACCTGAACACGCTTCACCTCGTCCCACCTCACCTCATTGAAGATACAGACAGACAGACACACTCAAACCTCACCTCCTTGTCCGTCGTCAAGTTCACTTTGGCGACATAACGTTTCCAAATCCTTTATGCGTATGTCGATGCACACAGTCCCTTCCCCACACGCCTTACCGTATAGAAGACGATGCTGTTTCTACTTTGTTCTTTTTTTATTTCCTTTTTATCTTTTTTTCTTCTATCACACCTACCTATCCGGTAGTGAACGAGGACGAAGCGCGGTGTCACTTTTACATATACGCGAACAGGACACAGTGAACTTATTTTTGTATAAACACGTACAAGTTCAGATGTGTTTTGCTTGGCGTACGCGCAGCTCTCGCACACACGTACACATGGCCACGGGAAGCATTGAATATCTGTTTCGCACTTATTACCACTGTCTGTCCTTATTCCATCTGTGCTTGTAAAAGCTGCGCGCGCAGTTGTTGCTTTTCATGCCAGGACCGTACGTGAGTTAGCTTTTTCTACGCAATTTTGATATTTGACTAGTGTTTTATCATTTTTGTATGATCATATCCGATAAATTGCAACAGCGATCTTTATTTAAGTAGCTTAAATTTGCTTCAGGTTTATTATATTATTCAAATGTACTTTAATTTCTTTGTTTTCTTTGAGTATATATATAAAACTACAATTTTTCATACAATAGTTTTCTAAGAATACATTAATATTATAATACATGCATTTTCATTTTTAAACTATAAACTTAATTTCTTAATTTCTGTTGTAAAAAGAAGTACTGATTCATTACATTTTATTGCCAATAAGTACATATCTTGTAAAATCACTATGTGTTATGAGTCAAAAATGTTTTAAAGATATTTTATTAAATGCAATAGAAAAATAGATACTGTTTATTGCACCAATTGCTACGTTCCTGGTTGCAACTCTACATGCTATTGGATGCCGATTACTGCATGCGACATATATCTGTATATACAAGGCACGCATATGTTATACAAGCTATCGGCGCATGTTACCAATAGTGGGGATAACCGAACACGACCGGACCCCGCCGAACATTGCCGATGCAAAATAGCCGACAATTGACTGAACGTCGAGGGGTCGGACAGAAAAGAGACAAGCCATTCCTTCGGGTGTACAGCTTCCCCTTTCTCAATTTTATCAGGAAATTAATATATCACTGAATTTTGTTAACAAGCAAAAAATTAACAATTATTTTAAAATGTTTTCACTATTTGTAAAAAACAAAAAGCAATGACAATTAGATGACGTTTCACGTTTTACATACTACAAATTAGTCTGAAGTTTTTCAGCTAATGAACTCGATGATATACATATGTAGTATCGAATATTGAAGAGAAATCGATTTTTTGTTTTTGACTCTCTTATCAATTAAGTAGCGTTCAAACTTCCAAAAAGTAACAGAATTTATATATTTACTTATGGTTCACTTTTGTTACTTGTGAGTATGTGTTACATACTTCCCGTACTTTATGCCATGTATTATATACACATGTACTACAAGACTTAAGAATTGAATACGTATTGTTGATTAGATTAACGTTGTTATAAACAGTATTACTGTAACTGCTATACAATTTTTATCTCCGTCATTTTGAGTTTTTTATTCGTCACCGAGGATGTACATATACATATGTATTCTTAGGGGTAGGGGACAATCTTTAAGAGACAATATACCTTTAAGAAATATAAAAATAATTACTACTATCTTTGTTTAGTTTGAATCAATGGACGGTCCAGGTACAATCACGTGGGATGAATTTCTCGAAAATGCTGAAAAATTCGTACAAATGTCAAATGAAATTTCCGATGGTTGGGAACTTCGAGGCAATAAGGTGGATGTAATTTTTTAATTTTGTTTACATTCTGTAAAAAAATTAACAACCTGTTTTTGTAATAAATACGTATACACGATTTGCAGAACATGCCAGGAGAGGCATACGTTGCCCAGCAACGGAAACAATACATTTCCAGTGGTAGTAATTCGAAGAATTATTCCACACCAGAAAATAATGATTCTATCGATAATTTTGAGTTCATGTTAAAGTACGACCCATTCGAAGCCACTAGTTCAATCGAGAAACCATTAGTTACAGAACATCACGTACTGTGGTCGATGAGCTACAGCGTTCCGGTGCTTTATTTTAATGGATGGAAATCAGGTGAACACGCCATATTCGTGCTGAAAATTCTGAATAGATCCTATTCAATGAAAAAAAAATCGTCTTTTTATAATTCGTTTTTAACGATATCTTGTGAATGTCGTTAATTTTATAACATCTATTCATCAAAAATACGAAACGTCCATTACAATCGTTCTCTGATCACCACTAGACCTTAATCTGGTGTGTACCAGCCTGTTGAAAGTGGCGGGCCACATAATGCTGCTTATTCCTTCGATTGTAGCCTATCTCGAACTAGGCTAAGAAGTCAGCAAAGAGATCAAGAGTGACTGAAGAAGAGAGATACAAGAAACAAAGGAAATCTATGTTTTACCACAATGCATGCATTCAAGCATACTTTTATCATTCACTATCATTCGTGATTTGGATTTTGATTATTGCGAATTTTTGCTCCTTGTGTTCTTTTTGGTGTTGTTACATTCAATAGTTATAGGATTAATGATTTTATTTTCTTGCGTAAAATTGTTTTCGTGTGCCAATTATTGCGCAATCGGAAAACGTGTAGTAAAAGTATAAAAGGGAATGATATGGTTTGAAAGCCGTGTACCATTCGCCAAATACGCTTAGAATATAATTTTATATTTTTCTTTTTCTAGAACGTACGACTCTTTTAACATTTTTTAAATTTTTTTGTAAAAAATTTCTCCTTTTGTAGATTTCCCTGGTATTAATCCAATATCCGTGGAAGAAGCACAATTCCTTACATGTAGTGCAGAGTTACAGTATAAGGAATTATCTCAAGCGATACACCCTATATTAGGCACACCTTTTTTGTACTTGCATCCATGTATGTCTCATGAACTTATACAGATTACAAGTAATAGGTAAGGTAAATAAACGTTCATTCTTTAAATGTTTAATAAAATAAAAATGAACAGACTATTTTCTCTCTCGTTTTAGCAAGAATAAATTAGTCAGTTGGCTGAGTACCGTTGCATCCGCTGCTTTAGATCTGAAACTACGTTCTGAATATTATAAATTAACTCTATAACATATAAATTTTAAAATACTCTAATTTGTACATACTATACTTAAAAAAAAAAAGGACAAGTATTTATGTATCCAATAAAAGTGAACGATAAAAATATTCTTACTCCATCATACTCTGTATTTTATCAATTTTAAGTGGGCTCTTAACAATTGTAATCAGCGATGCAATTAAAATTTGGGTAGAATCCCTTACGGTTTACCGCCTCTGCGCAGAGGATGTGCGTCAATTGGTGGAGCCTCGATTGGAGCAGCAAATCCTGATTGGTAAAAGCAACGGGTGAAGTAACGCAAGCACCAATCATGTTACGTGACTCATAGAACTAGCTATTTTCTCCCCACTCTTTAGCTTCCCCACCACCCGCGCGCTTTTCGAACGTTTGGCTCAAATTACACGCTTCTAGTTGTAGTACAGTCCCGCGACTGTCATCGCACGGTATACACGAAAGTGCGATACAATCAGTGGGTCGACGTGTTTGCACACCTTTTTTGTTCTTTCGAGATAAACGAATCTGTTAAAGTTTATGTATATCTGTAATTATTCTCGTGAACGCGTTTTCTTGCGGGCGAAATCAGTGCGTACTTACTGTGCACGCGGAGTGTCCTATTTCGACTGCTAAAATTGACAGAGATCATCGAGGAAGCTGCTTGAGGCAGGAAGTTTAACCAGTATTTTGATAGCATGTTTTATAGTTCATTTTATTAATTTTGATGTTTTTACGATACATATATTAATTATTTTCAAATTAAGACAGTTTGTAGTTTAAATGTTTGAATATCATTGAGAACTTAGCACGTGTTAATGGTAGAAATGTGTAACAAAGACATCAAAGTGCCAATCAAAAACTAATTGCGAAACAGTACTAAAGTCTGGTTTTCATTGATAGTGATCTTTTTCATCACTTGCCGACTAATTACAAAATTTCATTGAGTTCAATTTTGAATTAAAATAGGCATGTCATATTACGCGAAAGAAAACATGATATACGTATAAACTTTATTCACGTTTATTCACTCAAGATATATTTCATAATTAATTGTGCATATCTAAAGATTGCATTGTCATAGGCGTAATACCAAGCGCCGTGCTATTTAAATAGAATGTAGAAAATCATGAAGATATTAAATAATGTTCACGCATATCAGAAAAGGGCTGTATGTCTGATAATCATTTTTTATTCTGTTTTAATTGAATGGTTAAGCTTGCAACGAATTACAAGTTCCAAATATTAAAAACATTCAACCAGTGCTTTAATATCTATCTAACCTAGTTTCAGTTTGAAATATGAACATATATGTAAAAATCATTCTGTTGCAACTGTTGTTGCATATTAGCATTTGATAAGGTGCATTATGTAACGTGTTATAAACAATTAATCATGATAACTACTTTTTTAAGATTTACGTAAAGAATTGTGAGTTGTGGTTCTCCTTGACTGTAAGGAGTTATAAGCAGAACTTCAGGGTTAAATGATCTGCAATTACATTCAGCTTAGTATATAAATTATAGAGCTCATACACCTATGATGATTATGGTTATAAATTCCAGATAACTGATAATTAAATAACAGAATGATAGACTGCGTGCAGTGCAATTTTATTAGTCATATTTATCGCACAAAGTTTCTCAATAATAATTAAGAAAAAATATACGAATATGAAATAAACGAAAATCGTAAGTATTTTGGGTTATCTCGATAAAATTGATATCGTAAGTATTTTGGGTTATCTCGATAAACTTGATATCGTTTAACAATAATTATGTAAGAAATATATAGGTTGTTCAGTATACACATTTATAATAATCGAAATATTGGACAGTGAGACTTTAGTTTGACGTTGACACGTTTTTTAACAAACGTCTATTTATTAACAAGGCCGTGAAAATAAATGTTGAGAAGTACCGTCTGCTACCTGTTTAAATATGCTACCCATTCGAACAGTCACGTTTTTACCGCGTATTAGATTTATTGTAGAGCACAGACAAGTGGTTGCGCGTTGGCACCTTTTTTTTTTATATGACTCCACTATTCTTATATATTTGGCAGTAATCACTTTTTATTTGTTATATTGATGTTGATAGTATGAGGAATACAATATCAAAGTAAGGTTTTAAATACAGTCAATTTAATCACACTTTTTAAAAGGAGAAAGGGAAAAATATTCTACGAAAATTCATGATAAAATCAAAATTTCTATACCCTATCTAACCATATAAATAAAATCAGGATTGCGGTTAATTCGACCGCATGTAACATTCGCTTCGAATCGTAATTCGAGAACATGCTAAGTCTATGAGTTGAAAGAGCATTTGGAGATGTAGAGATCTATTTGACGACACGCGAGTAATCGTAGAGTGGTCGATCGTAGACTGATAGTCGAAAATAGACATTTTTCTGGGCTCGTCACTATTCCACAATAAGTCTGTTGGCTATTTATTATTTGTATTTTATTTTTGACTTTCGCGCAGACGCCGTCGACTATGATTATGTAATGTTATTATTGAACGATATTACTTGTTGCATCCGTTTAGACAACAAGAAATTTCATCTATAAGTGGGTAAAAAAGGATTAGTATAAAAAAATGAGGTAAAAAATTATCAAGTCTCAACAATGGAAAAAGAAGAATTAAAAATTAACTATTGGAACACGACCTTCTTCTTTTAAAGATCTTTCTAAGTTACATGACAAGGAACGACATAGTTAATATCGCTTACATTCACTCTCAGTTGCATAAGAATGTAACTGCGTTCTTGAATTGCAATTATCTGTTTACACTATCAACGTGCACACGCTGATTTCATCCTGTTTGAGAATTTTCCGAATTGGATGCTATCAGTGATACAATTCCCTCTTCTGGTTGCATTTCCATCCCTTGTTACATTTTTCTTACGTTAAGTTTCAAATCTGCGAAAATTTTGCCTAGGGTTGGCTAATAATTTTACAATTATTTCACTGTCAATAGTTCTTTACACATTTTTTCTTTTCTTTTTTGTTTTGGAGTTTATTTTTAAATTATTTTTTCAATTTACGATTTTTAGCTGGTATTATTATACAATAGACACGAATAAATGGTCGTTTCAACTGATAAAGGTAGTTTCACTGGTCCAATTCCATAGGTTATCCAACGGAGATCAAGGTTATCGTTCCTGGAACAACATTGGTTATAAAAGAACGACCATGGAAACGCTTTCCTTTAAACTCTTTTTTTTATCGTGGAAGACCTTGGTCATTTAACTTATCTCGAGTAGCTTTCGTCATCGAGGGAAATGATTTTCTGTTTCAAGAACCGCTACAACTACCACCGTGAAATAGCTGCTAATGTCCATTAAAAATTGAAAATTATAGTATTCTATGTCATAGGCACAAGTAATTATAGCTAATTGATTGATTCAAGGTTTATAAGAAAATGAAAGCCAATTATTTAAGTAATTTAAAATTTTGTTAAATAACGTAATATGGATCCTTTGCGCATGCGCCAAAGAACAGACCACCCTGCTGCCTAAAGCGCGCGAAATTTAATTTCCGCGGCGCCAAGATTCAAATTTCACAGTAAAGATTCCAAAGTTCCAAGCTTTCGAAAAATCAAAATTTTTGTAAATCACATTATTATCATAAAGAAAATTATTCATTCTACTTTCAGTTGATCTGTCGATATTTTTAAGTTCATTTACATCACCCAGGACGAACAATTTAGCGATATAATTGCGTGTAATGAGCAAAGGGTGGCGCGCTCTCATTCGGTGATGAATCTACCGGCAAAAGTAGTCCATTTACCTGGTTAAACGTTACAATAAAGAGCGTGCACCGTGCTTGGTTAACATAATAATGAAAATACCCTTCTTATTTAACGTAATAGTAAAAGCACCCTCCATTCGATTAACCGTACCAACTACTACGTGTCCAAGCAGAGGAACAATTTATTCAAAGCTACTAAATGACTATTTAAAAATCTTCAATTTTTTTTTAATACATTTTAACAATTATTTTTTATTTGAAATAAAAATTTGCACGTATTATTCTCGTTTTCCTTGCGGATCACATATTATAATGTGTACATTGTAATGTCATCATTGGTCAGTTTGATGAATTAAAGACAGTTTAATATGACCAGACTATGTTTATTCTGGAACGATGAAACAAACCACAAAAGGACATCCGAAGTTTCCGCCTACGTTTCGAACCCATCGGTGCTTGTGTATCATCAGCTGATTGCGTCACGGTCTGGTTCTATAATAGTTCATTAAATTGCCGGTAATTCGTGGTTGTGGGGCTATTTTATGTAGTATAAATGAATGAACATTATCGTGCAACACTTTGAAGCCGGTTCATGTTAAGGCCAATTTACGTGTCCGCTGCACATCCATAGAACACAAGGAGAAAGATGATATTTTAATTAATGTATTACAATTTTTTCTCTTTTTACTAACAAAGAAATGTCAAGAACTTCAAGATATCGATTGAGTTGGTTCTACGTACATTCGGTCCCATGAGGTTTCTCTGGTAAAAGATTCCTAAAAGGGAATGTAGTCATTCGCTTTGGAGAAATTAACCAAAAATCTCGATTAATTAAAAAGAAATAGTTTATGGAAATAAATTGCAAAAAATATATCATTAATATAAAACAAATACGTAAAAGGTAGACTAATGTGAAAAATAGGTAAGATCAAAAAAATTTGGTGTGCAACAACAAAATATTAATCCGTGACTTGATGTATTTACATTTTGAGTGCACACCTCTCAGTATTTACTAATTTCTCGAAAACAAACATTTAGGGTTCTTTTATCGTTGACTTAAGGAATTGAGTTAAATTTCGAAGTTCTTGCCATCTCCTTGTAAGATTTTCTTATTTCAGAAAAGGGAGAAACATTTTTTTTCTACTTGCTTTTGAAGCTAGTCTTACAATCAGATTGGACGATTAATTAACGCATCAATCGTTCTAAGTTTTGTAGAATTTATGAAAATGTTCCAGGATCGTGTAACGAATGGGCGTCGATGATTAATTGCAAGTGCGTACGAGTAAACGCACGATTGTTCATCTTATTACTCCCGATGCGCCTCTTTATGCACAGCCACATAATCATCTAGGAAATATAATTTTTTTAGTCTTTTGTTTTTTTTCGCCTTCCTATTCGTCATTGATCTTCTGAATGAATAACTAAACTGTGACTCAATATTCCTTTTAAATTTATAAGTAGCTATTTCTGCCTATAGGTTCGGCGTGAAATCGCTTCAAGAAACGAATGGATTAATTTTATTTCATTGGATCTTTTTAAGGGTGTAATTTGCTTCTGGATTGTTTTACATTTTTTGGTCCACTCTTTAGAAGTTTTCTTTTTCATTCAATTTCTATTACTTTAACTATTCCAAAGATACTGATAATTTTTCACTGAATTTAATTTCTGTTCGTAAATGTCGATATTATTTTCTTTATGGGCTCATGTCCGTGAAAATAAATAAACGATAAATTATAAAAGCATTTTGAGTGAAAGGTTTAGAGGATTTTCGATCCAGCTACGCGTTTCCTTCAAATGGGACTAGTACAGTTTTTGGATCGCGGTTCTCTCGAACGATGGAAACACTCTAATGGCCCGAATAACCGCAGAAAGTGTTGTATCGTACGAACAATCCGTTAAAGCTTTTTTCCTCTCGAGGTTTGAACGATAAAAGTGACCTATTTGCGACATTCCCGTGATTTTTTTGCATTCAATGAGAAAGTATTTTGTGAAAGATCGATCTTTATCACTTCTTTTTCTTCTAATCGTGGGAGAAATGATTTTAGGATTCAAATATTAGACGTGAAGAATGTACATGAAGAATATACGAGTGAGGCCATTCCTTGTTCAATTCGGCGCACGACCCGAGCGAAATCAATTATAAACTTGACCTATCTCGACCCTTCCTGTCGACGAGAAAAGTATTACAACTTCCTTCCTCTCTTCGAATGACTGCCTACAGAAAAGAAGCTGCCACACTTTTTGTGAGGCAAAATTTCAACGAACGTGTAATTGTCCTTGATAATTAATCCTGTGGATTCTTCATTTAAATTAACAGAAAGATTCCCAGATTAAACATAAGAAATAAACAAAATAATTCTCGATAAATTTTCAAAAATCCAGAAACAAGTCACACTTAAAAAGAAAAAAAATGGAAAGAAAATTCCCCAATGTTAATTTTCCAATTTCCTCCTCAGATCGCGTTAAACAATTCTCAAGAATCTCGTTGAAATCCTATGCAGTTGAAGAGCAATAAGCGCCATCGACCATTGTGATCGACCATTGAGCTGCAGGAGGAAGAGGAGCTTTAGTGGAAGTCGGAAGGAAGGGATCGGTGTGTATGATCGGAGGAAGGTGATTCGAGGAGAGTGGCGGATCAGAGACGAGAGGAGAGGTCAGGCCAGGCCAGGCGACAAACAATAGACCCGTAACCTGGTGCTCCCGATGGGGTCGTAGTTGCGCGTATTTGTAATATATCTGGCGATGATAGGCCAGCACGGCAGGAAGAGATCGTCGTAGGGGGATCGCCATAGCTAATCGTACCACCCAAGGTGGCACAGATTAAGAGCTCTATCAGCACACATCCTCTCCTGGCCCGAGCTACCCATCGACGTGCACCCGGTACATAAGCACCAAACCTACGTACGTTTTCATTAAAACGGCTTATCCCCATCTGTTTACACTATACACATACTCTACTTGCCTTTACCTTTTTTCTCTTTTGCTAATTTAACCCCTAGACTTATGAATTTTCTATTAGATATGAATATGAACTATGTACAGGTTCAATGGAGTGTCAAGTAAGAAAAGCTAATGTATTATACATTATATACGTGTATTTGGTAATGGTCAATCTTATGTATTAAAACTGCAAAGTTCCAAGATTAAAATTATAAAGTGCATGATGATGCTTTTTGATAATCAAATTTCACTTTGGTACCACATGACTTGCATCTACACTACCGTTCATAAGTATCACGACATCTATTATATATAATACATTTTACATTACAAGATTCCAGGCTGAATAACCTCTCTTTTATCATTCCAGCAACTCTCACTTTGAAAAACTATAAAATCAATCAATTTTGCAAATAGATTAATGTATAACTGATAAAATCTCGTTTCGCTTTCTCAATGCAAAAAAGTAATCCTAAATTTTTCATGACAAATTACGTATACAATTATCCAGTTGGTTAATCATTTTGTAATGACCGTTTAGGTTTGCCCCACATTCACTAAGTATCCTTATACTTACCAATAAGAGTGTATACTCCAACATCAACCCTCATTTGTACAAGTAGTATAATGGTTCCTCATTCTTCGTTCGTTCTCTGCTTGTTCTACAGTGAGCAGAGGGATCCAAGAAGTTAGAAGTGAGGTGATCAACGGATCGGTCATCGTCGATCCCTTTCGAGCCTCTCGACCTCTCCTGCTCGTTCCGCGTCGCCTTCCCTTCCCCATCGTGTCGCGACACACACAGCAGCCGCTTCCGGCTAACCGGAAGTGACGCTCTATGCGAACGGGTGACCACCGTCTTTCGTCGAGATATCAACACCACGCAAACGTAGGCCAGCACACCAGACAGGCATCATGGAAGTCGCCACTGAACTGTACGTATCTTGTCTTCTGTTTTCCCTAATCATCTTCATTGGTACTTTTTATTTTCTTCAATTTTTACTTAAGCAGAGAACTCTGAGATTATTTTTCAAGAGCCTGTTGAATTTTTAAAATGGAATTTCATTTTAAATTTTGTCACTTGCCTTGAATTCTCTTCTTGGACAGGATCTTGTCTCTTGTATTCCCCAGCCATAGGATCTTGTTTTCACTGTGCTTGAATTTTTATTTAAACAAAGAACTCAGATTATTTTTCAGGAATCTGTGGAATTGTTAAGATGTACTTTAATATCGTATATTTATAAGTTTATTTTTGTGCAATTTATAGTTGTGGATTTGATCACTGAAGTGTCATTTATATCGAAATTTCCTTTTAAATTTCAAATTTCGTTCTGAATCTGGACATTGTAGTGTTATGATTCGCCTTCAAGTTTCCCGAATTGGAAAGTGTTCTTACACAATATGTACTGTCCTCTTGGTACATTCACAGCTCCCGCGTTTCGCAAACAAAATTTAGACAATTTCTCTGTTATGAAAGTCTTCGAGAATCTGTTTTAATTCACGAAACGCTGACCTATTAACATTACAGTAACAGGCAGATGAGGTTTGTCCTTCGCGTAATTTGCTTGCACCACGCTTGCCTAATGAATTCGCATGAAAAGTTACACTTGTGAAACTCAGCAGCGGTTTACTCACAACAAGTCCAAGGCATACATTCCATTTCCTTTTCCAGCATTTGCTCCTGAAGAACGTGGAACAAGTGACTAAGGAATCAAGCCAAGATTTTCATGAAGATCGTACCAATTATCCCAAAAAACCATACAGTGAAAGTACAATTTGATAATTAATAGTTCAGCTAAGGTTGTAGCGGAGCACGGTTTATGGTTTGCCGTTAGTAAAAATAAGCTTGCAGCTGTCGAGGATTTCGTCTTCGACATTTTACGATAGCTGCAAGTTAAAAATCTTAATTCTCGAAAATAGTTCATAACGCGTGACGGGCTGACAGTCATCTAACACCCCTCGAATATACTACTGCCATAAATCGTGGCCCGCTATCAAACTTTTCTAAGGTAAAAAACAAGCACACGGTGATACTCTCGTTGCTTAGGAAATCCCAAGTTTTCCAACTTCTCTGCCAGAAGAGCCATGAAGGTGGAGCTTCTAGAAGCTTTTAAAAAAGCCAATTAAAAATAGTTAACTAATATGAGCTCCACTCTCAAACTCGCTATACCTACATTAGGTAAATATATAAGGAGAAAATCAAAGAAAAAATATAAAAGTTGTCGAGACACGTAGCGAACAGTGTAACACACGCACATGCGATAAAAACCCTATTGTTAAATAAAGATTTCATTAACTTTACGCGATTTTGTAACCCATACGTTACAAGGTTACTCCTGACCACAAGCTGATCGAAACACTCCATGTGTCGTTTGAATTATTCACAATATTAGAATCTCCTCGTTCGAGAATTTCGTAATGTATAATCGGTCTGAAATGGCCGTTTACAAGAGGAGGCTGAAAGGGCGACGACGTACATATCTTTCTTGGCAAGGTCATCGACGAGCGAGCAACAAGACTTTCAAGAGTGATCAGTTCTCTTGAGGCCTACTTAACGCGAGGTCGCTCGTCAAGACTCAATCAAATCATCAGGAAGACTACTGACCCCTTGCCGGGCCAGTGCAATGGGTTACGATAACCGTCGTCGCCTTTTGCTTCGCTCCTGATGCAAAGAAAATATGATTTGAGGGCTGTAGTAGGTTTTCGTGGTTTCAGAGATAGGAATGTAGTCTATTGTTCCATTGGAGACACTGTCCTCGGCAGCAACTCATTTTAGAGCCTTCAAATTTCTCTGCACATTGGTTTGATCTTTTATACTGCATGGAGGAACATATTTGAGAAAGATGATGGTATTTAGGATTGGTAGAGAATACTGAAAAGTTTGTCTACATTTGTGATCAATTTAGAACGTGAAGATTATGAGTACGAAATTAATTTAACTTTATTGTTCAAAAAAGCCTTTTTTATGACACATTCCCTATATGTAGTCCTGGGTTAGTGTGGTGAGGTCTGTGAAACCCAATGCCATAATTTTCATTCCATTATTTTTACAATTGTATAAATATCAAATTAAGGCAAAGATCCATCAGTGAGATTTTAGTGGTTTGAAGGTTTGAAACAGTGCAAACAGAAAATAAGAATTTTAAATTTTCAATATTTCATAAAAATTCATCAGATTAACGTAGAGTTAAATAATGCTATTAATTTAATTATTTTTATAATAATTCAAACATAGACTTCTTTCTTTATAAAAAATACATGTGTGTATGAGCCATTCCACGTCAAATCGCACAAAATTGCGATCATAATCACCTATTTTTTTCAAATTCACAGGATTTATTGATACTCTTGAGAAACTGAAATGTGTAATATTTTAGCTTTCTATCTCGAACGGTTTTTAAAGTATTTAATGTTAAAGTTTTGGAACTAAACCGTAATATTTCGACTTAGTTTAAAGATAATGCATTCCTCTTAGGCTCATTTTAAGGATAAAGAAACGCTATTTCCAAGTATGTACATAAAATTTGATTTATTATCAACAAATATAACAATAATCGTTGCTAAACTTTCAACTGCTGATTTGACGCTGTTCCCACCCATAGCACAATCTGAAAAAATACCATTAGATTGCTTGAACTTTCACCTGTAAAATAAGCTTCTTAAAAAGATCGAGCCATTTTGAGAACATTGAAAAAAAAAAAAGAAGTTTATCATGATGCACGTCGAATAGTTGCCGCGCATGCGCATCGTATACAATGTACCATTTTTCCAAGGCAGATATCCCGCTGGAATACTTCGGGAATTTGTATATTTACACAATAACGAATACATATTGTCTAGGAAAACAATGTACTATCACTCGTAGATCTGTACTCATGGTCTAAAAAAAAATAACTTACAGGTTGCACATTATTGTCTGCAAGTTCTGCGAGTCCATTCCATCTTTATCGTCATTTTACTAACTGTCCCCGACGAGGTATGTACTATCAATGCAAAATACTTGCAATACTTGCAGGCAGCGGTGTGCAACTTATATATTTTATTCTTTTTTTTTTGGCGACCTTACCTGCGTCGCGCCACATTTTTTAGTCACATTCTATAGACAAAGGATCAAGGAATAAGGGCGTGATTTTACTTTGGTGGTATCTCGTAAGTGCTATATATATAGTTATAGTATACATATATACTCGAAAAGAACGTTTCTAAGATGAATGTATTATCTTTAAATGAAGTCGAAATATTACGGTTTAAGTGCTGACATATTAACTGATTTCATATAATTTTCGAAAACTTTAACATTAAATAGTTTGAAAACCGTTCGAGACAGAAAGCTAAAATTTTACAGAGTTTAGTTTCTTAAGTGTATCAACAAATCCTGCGAGTTGAAAAAAATCGGAGACTATGACCGCAATTTTGTGCAATTTGACGTGAAATGGCTCATATACGGATGAGTTCAAACAGTCCTGAGTCATATATGCTTCAGCGGACAGTGAACGTGTTAAAAAAGAAAGATTAAGTCCATTAAGAATAAAACAGAATTTTAAGTGATTCCAATCTTTTTTTTAGATCTAAAAATAACTACTTCTTTCGTTATTTTTAATGTTCATCCGGTGGTTGTTGAAAATTTGTTGCGCCACCATCAAGCATTTAAGCAGCATGTAATTCGACGTGTCGTACGAGATGAGTGATTGTTTAATTTGATTAGAATCAAACGTTGTTCGCGCACCGCTGAATTAAGACGAAGCGGAACGTGTGCGGGGATATAATGACAGAGCTAGGCGAAGTCATTGTCAATCATCGTGCTTTCCTGCACACTTAACGCGCACGTAACTTCAAACATTTAGCATTTTGCTCATCTCGCCCTGGTAAATAAGGTTTATCGCTTGGTACAGATGGAACTGCATTTTTCTCTTTATTTACATTTTATTTTAAAATATGAATTTTAAATTGTCATCATTAAAGAAAAATGAAGAATATACTGTTCATGTCAGATAATGTGGTTTCAAGAGTATACGTCACGGATAAACAAACTTCATGCAACTAATTTTTAACGTTATACGGTCAACAACGTCGTATCTACATATATCCGAAAATTTATGTTTCCGTGGTAGCACATGTGTGCATGTATGAACACATATTTTCATGAATGGGCGTTACATTAATCATTCAAGGTCCTCAGCCTTTCACGCTGTCACGTTTAAAATGCTAATCCATTGAAAATGCTGGTATTATTCGTGTGCGTTACGCAAATACTCTTTCACGAATTTGATGGTCGACGAAGAAGGAAGGCCACTTCAACGTTAAAAAAGATACACTTGCTTTGAAACACAGGAAAAAAAACACTGATACCGATGTAAAGTGTAACTCGATATATAAATCAAGTTATGCAACTGGTAGAATTCGATAGACAAGTGGTTCTTGGGTAATGGAGCATGTGAAATAGAATACTCATTGTATTTAGGAATTAGTGATCAAAGAAGTCGTCAGTTGAGGTTAATAACTTAAGTAACTTAATTTTCAGTGACTTGAGTCATTCAATTTTTAACATTCATCTCGAGATTATTTTATGAAGGACACTCTAACCTCTCGATCGATGTCACCTATTATAACAGATCGTTCCACTCCATGTCCAACGCATTGAAATTCCCGAGTCACAACCCCCCCATACCACTTGATCCAATGGAAATGTAAAATTCATTTAAGCTTTTTTCTTTCGTCACGCCTAATCAATGCCAGTACGCATGCAAATAGGCAATGACACACCACACTAACGATCAAATAACAGAAGAAAAAGAAAATTAAAACCATTTACGGACCAAGGAAACATGCAACTACCACGCAATTTAAAGGCGTTACTAATTAAGTTGCCACTCCGCGAAAACGTTCATTGGATGCGTAAGTGTCAGATGTCGTTCTCTTTCCACCAATTCAGACATTCCGTGTTGTTTTTTTTTTTCTAATGATCGCATCGTCTATCATTAACGAGTCGAACTGACCGGGTTACCAGTCTCGTTAACACCGTTAACGGATTAACTCTTACAATTAACCCTTCGAATCATCTTCTTTCGGTCCACCGACTACATACTCTTCTGAGAATCTTCTTCTCCTTGGTGATGATTTATTCGAATTGGCGAATCCAGAACTACGTACTGTTCGCAACCTGGTAAATTAGCAGACAGAAGGAATACGCATTTGTATTATTGTCCGAAACGGTACATCTACTAAATCATCGCGTGACGGTAACATCAACTTGGAGCGACTGGCTTACTCCCCTTGCCCCTGTGCCGTCCCGATTGCCAACTTACCAGTTGCGAGTAGTACATATGTATATTCTGCATATTGTATGTTACAACCATTCTTTTGCAATTGTAAAAGAAGAAACGTTAATGCATTCCTATTTAAATAAATCATTCAATGCAGAAGATATTTTAATATCAATATATGGTAATCAGAAAGATGTTTACACATTTCCATAACAACAGTTTTTTACGAACGTCCATTTTTTTAAACATAACCTCCATAATTTTAGGTCGCCGTTATCAGGATCGGATCCACAATGCAAAATTGCCGAGAGAACGTCGTATTACCCTCAGGAACCGAACAAGAGGCCGAAGACCAGGCAAGAGAAGATTCGAGCATGCCTCAGGCACAATTCTCTGACGATCTTGACCGTCGGCGGTGTGGTAGGCGGTGTGATCCTTGGTATTATCCTACGGAACACGCGGACGCAAGGATGGACGCCCCGAGAGATTATGTACATCAATTACATCGGGGACCTGTTTCTGAGGATGCTGAAGAGCTTGATCTTGCCGTTGATTATATCCAGCTTGGTCTCGGCAATTGGCTCCCTCGATTTGTCTCTGAGCGGCAAGATTGGCGCGCGAGCCATCGTGTACTACATGGTGACCACAGTTAGCGCTGTTATATTAGGTCAGTGTGGGCGAATAATTCATTAGGATTATTAAAATAATGATACAGTAACTATATTGTCTGTACATTTATATTCTTTCTAGGTATCATTTTGGTGATCACAATTCAGCCAGGTGTTGGAAATAACCCAGATATAAAAACGAAAGAACAGTCGCAAAATGTATCAACCATAGATACATTAATGGATCTGGTTCGAAACATGTTCCCACCAAACTTAGTGGAGGCCATTTTTACCCAAGAAAATATCCATTATCTTTATCTGTATTCTATATCGTCATTGTACTTTTCATTTAAGCAGACAATATGGATTCATGGGAGCCAGTACAAAAGAGTGTCTCAGGGACCAACATCATGGGCTTAGTGGTTTTTGCTACAGCATTAGGTATCACCCTTGGAAAGATGGAGGAGCAAGGTAAACCTCTACTATATTTCTTCGAGTCCCTATCTGGTGCCATGATGCAGATTACTCACTGGGTGATTTGGTAAATTTATATTTATCTACAGTAATATTTTCTATCTATAACTACATAATTCTACAAGTGTTCTAGATTGAATAGAACTGTATTTTTTAGGTTATCACCGGTGGGTGTGCTTTTCCTGGTAGCCGCGAAGATCACCGAGATGCAGTCCTTGGACGAAGTGGTCGCTCAATTAGGAATGTATTTTTTGACCGTTCTTTTTGGCCTCTTCATACACGGTTTCCTAGTTCTACCAGTGCTATACTTTGCAATAACAAAGAAGAATCCGTACGTGTACATATCCAACATGGCCCAGGCGTTGGTCACTGCGTTTGGCACATCCTCGAGCTCAGCCACACTTCCGATCGCTATAAATTGCTTGGAAGAGGGTAACGGCGTAGACTCACGAATCACTAGATTCATCCTACCAATCGGTGCTACGATCAACATGGATGGTACTGCATTATACGAGGCCGTGGCTGCGATTTTCATCGCGCAAGTGCGTCAAGTTAGCCTCAGCTTTGGACAGCTGGTAGCAGTCAGGTAAATAATTCAGAGAAGACTAAGTTGTGTAAGTTTTTTCCTACTTGAAGAGTATAGTGACTTATATTGAAGCTTTTGTTTAGTATCACAGCGACTGCAGCGAGCATTGGAGCAGCTGGAATTCCTCAGGCTGGCCTGGTGACGATGGTGATGGTGTTGGACACTGTTAGACTCCCAGCTGATGACGTTTTCCTTGTTATCGCAGTTGATTGGTTACTGTAAGCTCTCCTCTTCATTGCTTCCATTAATCACCTAATTTGTCTAGTTGAGTTCTTGAAGTTCATAGCAGGTTTATGTGAAATATTTTTCTTTAAATCTCCAGGGATCGCTGTAGAACAACGGTGAACGTCGTAGGCGATTCCCTCGGGGCGGGAATTGTCAATTATTTGAGCAGAAACGAGCTGACTTCGTTGCCGCACAATGCACAACCTCAGAACGGGGCAGATCATCATACCACGACGTCTATATGAGATTGAGATTGATATTAATCGGCAGAAAAAAGAGCGCTCGCTTTCTTCTTCAACACTTTTGCTCGTTAAATTATCGCACATTCTCACCGAACTTTAAATTTGTCAAAGACGAGATTCAGGAAGGATAACGATAATCCTCTGAAGGCAGCGATAAAACACACGGTATAGCTACTATTCCGTTCTGTCTGTAGCATTCAGTCTTCCATTATTCGAGAAGGGACCTCTGATGGTCCTGGTACGATGTTGTTAGAAGAATTAGAGCAACGTTTTTTATATTGACATTGCACACCAGTTTCGTTCGATTGAAGTACAAAAGTAATCAAATGGCCTGATCATGTTTTAATGGTCATTTTCAGTTGATTGTATAATAAGTTGGTTAACGAAGGATCTAGATCTGAGTTTTCAAGTTTGAACGTGAGAAGACGCTGGAGAAAGGTTTGTCAGCAAAATTGATCGGTCGTGTGCCATATACTTTAGCGTACAAAATGCGATCATAGTTTGAAAATGTTCGATTAAACAATTTTTTGGACCTTTTTTTTCTTTGGAAATAATATTCTCTTCAAATTAAGCCATTTTTTATTCAAAAGAACATTATTCAATGTTATATACCCCTAGAATATGTTACTGCCTAAGTGTTCTAATTTATTCTAAAAAGTGTTCTATCTTTAATTATGCTATTTCTGAACTCGTTCGCGGCAAAACATCATTCTCTTCTCAAAAATTGTAGTATAAACGTTCAATTCCAGAAGCATTTGTTTTTAATATATGCTGAGAAAATTCAATTGTACTTTAAATAATCCAGAAACGCTAAGAACATAGTTGAGATGTATAAAATCCCATTATATTTGATTGTGTGAATACAGCACTGTCTTTGTCTTCCACTACTACAATACAACCTATGATAGTGATCTTTTTATCAATTTCTAAAATCTTAGAAATACAAATGTAAAACATTTATAAATGTGTTCAATCTTCCATAGATTTAAATATCTGTAAAAAAATACAGAGAGATGCAGAAGAGAATTTGTTTCAAGCTAGTACTATCCATAGAGAGCCAGTAACAAATATATTATGGTATTCCATATACCTCACTGCACTAGACAAGAAGTGTTCAACTATTATTTAGAAAGTAATGTATTTTATTACTCTCTAACAAAAAAAAGAAGATTAAAGATACATTATCACATGTACTCTTTTACACAGTTACATTGGTGCATGCAATGAATGTAACTGAATAGTCAATTTATATTTTTAATTTATTCACTATATTACACTTCATGTAGGCATAATTTAAATTAATTGAATCGATCAGGTACCGTCTTATGTTTCCTTTTTACAAAAATCTTGACACGTTTTTTTTTATAAGGACTTAATTAATTATTACAAAATAAATTTGTAAATTACTGAAAAACAGAATAATTCTGGCCTGATAAAAATTTGAAAAAATTTTAATTATCTTTCTGTATTCATTCAAACATTACTTAGTAATTCAAGTTATACATATTTAATGTTAAGGCATGATTCGAACTAATACTCGTATTATCGTAATTAACCCCGTGAATTGATGTACAGTTACACTTTATAATCAAATTCTATTAGTAGAATTTATGTACCTGTACATAATTAAGTAATGCCATAGTTGCTTAAAAATATACTGTATAATATTTATTTGTACAATAAATGTACAAATTGACATAACAATAAAGTCATTGCTTATTTCTAAATGAAATCACGTATGTATAAGATGCTCGAATTTTTAAACCGTTGTGCTAACAAAATTATTCTTATCACAGTGAAAATATTTCGCTATATAATATAGTTAAAAAAAAACATACCATTTAATATCAAATTTCTAACCCTACTTTTCATAGGTTAACTCAGATTATAAGATAATCGATTAAGATAATTACTGAAAATTATTTATTTCAATTGTAGTTCTATCCGTGCATAATAACATTTTTTTTCATTTCATCAGATACATTTCAATTTGCGTTGTCATGAATATAATATTACGTGGCAGTTGCAGAAAAATATATTTGGGATCTTAAAAAGTCTGAAATATGTATTGAAAAAGAATGCTGTCAAAAAGTATTAAATATATATAATAAACCAATAGCATTGCAAGTATGTCTATCACATTTCAAACACAATTTATAGTCACCTATTCTATTGTCGTTCATTATAAAAGGGATATGCTGAACTGATTCGTATGATAGATTGGTGATTGGTTTTATTGCAAACTGATGCATCATCGCATTAGAGGAAAAGAATCGTAAACAATAGTGGGCATTTTGTTGCTTATTTAAAACTGAAAATACTTAACATAATATATGACTAGATAAAATGCACTTGGTGTTAATACTTTGAAGTAAAAAACATACTAAAAGCAGAAAAAAGGTATTCAGTCGAAAAAATAACCTGCAGTCTAGGAATTTTTGCAAATTTTTTTTATCATATGTGTATAATACACATACACATGTATGTATATACATATGTGTATATGTATACAATAGTTAATACCGCTAAATTTTCTATGCAAGCGCAAGTTAATTCATAATTCGATGCAACGATTAACAACCACGGACGTCTGAATCAATTTCTATTAATGCTGTGATATAAAAAGCACTTTTGACGGCACTGAATATATAAAATTTCCGTACTCGATCGTTAGGTGATCCCACAAAATAAAGCATCATTTTGCGATTACGATTTTAAAACTGTCATTCTTTTCCTAATTGTAATAAATGAGAAAGGGATGACAGTGTGTAAAATCAGGAAATGCATGTTTATGAAGTCTTAAAATCTTAAACAGGCGTTGTTATGTACATAATATAAACAATTCGCTATAGTATTTACAAAATAAAAACAGTTTACAAGTTTCGCGTCATAATACTAAACATCTATAAATCACAATTGTCGCCGACCCCGACAGTGTGTAAAATATCGTTCGTACCGCGATAATAAATTGTGCTCAATTGTGTGAAAATGTCGATACAGAGAACAACTTCCAATTTGCCCTTTTTTAAAGTAGCTCTTAATATTTAATTTAGAGAAATTCCTTGTATCCACGAACTAAGGTCGCTTGTGTCTTCGCAACTGAGACTAAATGCGTTTTTCTCGTTCTTTTTCGTTTCCAACAGTGCTTGGGCAGCAGTTCGACCGGTTAAATACGCTCCGTGTACTGTACTATAAAAGGAAGAATGTGTATGTTCACCTGCAAATGCTATTACGATTTTTGAAGGATCATCCCCTTGCATTATAGGCTCGGCTAAACTATTAATATCTAATTGACTTGCACCGACAGCCATAGCGGTGTAGGAACCACGTGTATAGGGCTGTGAATGCCACGAAGTACGTAGACAATTTTTTGGTGCTGGTACAAATGGATCATTGAGAAATTTTCTCAATATCGATGTGCATACATCCGTTACTTCTGCTCCGCTCAGTTTCTCCATGTATTCTGCAGCTTTTCCCGATATCCACCCCAATAATAGAGTTTCTGAAATTTTTGTAAAAGAATATATCTTTCTGAACCATGTTTTACTGATGTCTTCCTTCTCTTCTTCAGATAGTCCTCTGTCATCCCATAGAAGCATCACTTCTGACACACCAGGATTTAAAAATGGTCTATCATATTCTAAAAATATCTTATCTACAGTACCAAACAGAAGTCTATCTATGGCTTCAAGTTTGTAATTCGGTAGAGGAGGTTCAAATATATCATTAGCTTTCTCCTTAAGTACTCCTAATGGCAATGTACAAATCACATGTTCAGCAAATATTGTTTTTCCATTTTCACATTGTATTTCTATAGATGGATTTGTATTAGAACAATTATTAAGATTTTCATTTTCATTGTTTCTTTTTCTTTGCCACCTATAATTAATGCACTTAAGTGAGAATACACATCTATTAACACCCATATTATAATATTGAATATCAATAAGAAACCAATTTCAAGTCCTTTTTACCTAATTTTAGTAACAGTGTGTCTAGTTAGAATACTGTTTTTTGGTATGTGTTTTGAAACTGGTTCCAATATAGCACTGTATCCATCTGGAAGACTAATATTTCCACCTTGAAGTTCTGCATATGAACCCATTTCCAAGAGATCAACATCTTCCATGCTATCACAGCCAGTAATACAGGTTTCTCTTTTCAGTAAACAATCAAATAATAATTGCCTAATTTTTCTTTCTTCAGCTGGTAAAGTAGACAGGTAAATCTCAGCTTCTAATGCCACATGTGCTCCAACACTGTTTATTCCATCTGGGGGGCTATAAGAACTTAAGAAATATTCTTCACATCTTCTCAGAAAACACACATAAGCTTCATAAATTTCTTGTAAGACTGGAAAGGGCAATTGTTTTCCATCTTCCATAGCAGCTACAACTTTGTGAGGCCTTGGTACACGCACAATATCTATCAATCCATTTGCCATAGCTAATTCAAACATTGGGTTTCCTAGGACTCCATGAATCCAATTTGCTCCTAATTCTACCTTTTCAGTGCCTGCATTAAAGTGCATGTATATATAAAGCTTATTTTTGCCACTTTTTATTTTTTATATATTTCTATTTATTTAACGAAGTACTATTTATTTGAGTACAATATGAATGGAATACAGAAGCCTTTAAGCAATTTGTTTTCTTATTATACTGTTACAATGATTGTATACTATAAATATATATAAGAAGTTAACAATTCGATTACGTGTTAGAATGTAAGAAATATGTTGGAAAACGGATAAATTCTTTTAATTAAAATCTAAAATCAAAAATCAAAACGAAGAACCAAACGTCTATTGATTATTAACAAAATTCGAAAATAGGTTAAGTAAAAACTTACCGATTTTGGTAGCGACAATACGACCACCTATTCGACCTCGTCCCTCGACAATCAGAAAATCAGTCTCGTGATTTTTCAATAAATGATTCGCAGCTGATAATCCGGCCATACCAGCCCCAATGATTAAAATTTTACACTTAACTTTATCATCCTCCGTCTGCTTCGTAGATTCCGCCATGATCATATCATATCAGCTGTCAATAGAAAAACTTATATGGAGAGCTTATTAATTTTTATTTCACAAAGAAACAAGAATGAGCGTTTTTCTTGTGCTACCAAAACTATCGTACAATCCAACATTGCCACTCGAAAATCCTTCGTTGGAATCTGCTCAAAGTTCTTTGACGTTTTTCATTTTAACGCGCATCAGAGAATAGACGACACAAATTCATACTAGTTATTTTCGTTTTTTACCACTTGATTCTTGGCGCGCCGCAACTTGAGGATTATATATATGTATATACATAACCATAAGAAAAAATGTATATATACCTGTTTCATGATAATGATAATATTAAACGAACAAAAATTTTTTTTTTTTACATAAAAATGAACAATCGAAATTAACGCCAAAATGCTATTTTTACGTCCTTTCTGTTTTAAGAAAGTGTAATAGGAATGAGGTTTATTTGTTTTTTAAAAATAGTAAAACAGTGAAAAAAGATTATTTTTTCTCATACAATTCTTTTTATTTATTTAGGTTGCCAATTTTCATTGAATTACAAATCTCAACATTCCTCTCAATTGGATATCTGCCTTGTACCAACAAATTAATATATTCTAAATCTAGTATATACAATTCCTTGCAACTCAAATCAATTTTATGTTGTAATTACGCTCAATTTTTACATATTTGGTTTATTAGGTTGAACGATTTTCAGAAGAGTAAAATAATCATTACAAACTGGTTTTCAAATGTCCTTTAGTATACGAATTTATATCTTACAATATCTTACAAGCGATAAAAAGTAAAATTCTGCATTCTTAAAATACGTGGTTTTCCTTCTTTTTCAAACTTTTTAATAACAAATATAAACATTTATACACTGACAATCACATTGATTACAATAATCAGAGAAAGTCTGCAATTTCTTGCAGTATTAATCGGAGCTGAACGTTCATATTGATAATTTTTATAAATCTTTTCGAAAACACTATAAATAAAAAAATTAATAATATAAAATCGCAAAAGTGCATATATAGCAAAGGACACAAATTTTTTATATGCTGATTATTATTAATCATTTCGAAAAACAAAGTTTATGGGATCACAATAAAACAGATACAGTACTTGGCTTTTATACATATTTACAGGTATCGTTAGCAACTACATAAATCTATTCATGTGTAAATATTTCCATGTTTGGATTCTTTCTGCCGAAATATTATTAAAAGTCTTGTTTTCAGCTAAGAACAGTTTCAAAATAGACAAATTTTAATTAATACAATAATCGCAGATCTCAGCAAAACACATTGAGTACAAATGTTAAGTTTAGGAAGAAATACTTCAAATAATTTTTTTTATCTACAGTGTACAATTTTGTACAAATTATATTTAATCAAATTACATTACCGCATTTAAATTACCTTTAAATTTTAAGTCCTTCGTTAGGTTAGGATACAACAAGCCGGTAACTTTTTGTCAATATTAAAAATATTCAACATATTCATATAAAAATGAAATTAACCCGAAATGTTTAAGAATACTTCGTTAAGTATTCATTTATACGCATATTACATTTATTAACTATCATTATACACATATTTCATGATTAACAACAGAACAGATATATTTTCGCAATAACAAATAATGGTATTTTATTTTGATTTTAGTCGCAAAACGATTTCTGTCAAGAGATCAGGATATTTTTTGTTCATTATACTTTTATAATATAAGCGCTGCTTTCATGTTTATCTATGTAGATTAGGTTAGTAGTGGGATAGAAAATTATTTTCTTCACGAAAGATCTATTTTAGTGGTTCCACGAGTCTTTTAATTGTACATTTGGAGCGTACAAAACCTCGTGGCCTTTATACCTCTATTATTGTTATTTTTAATAAAATCATTAACAAAACAGAAGTGAACAGACCACGGTTTCAATAATCATCAAGTATGTAAAAAATTAATTCAAGCACAGTTTGCGTATCCAGACTTTGTGCTGCTTTATGCAGAACTTGAATTAATTCGTTGTCCAAACTGTTCATGTAGATCGGGGGCAATTTCATGCCTTCGCTACCAGCTTCATAACCCACCTAGTATTATTACAACTTAATTATATTTCTTTTCTCGCACAATAGATTATTCTAAACTGCTAATGACTAGAGTAAAGTTTGTAAAATTTGGTTAAGTTACATATTTTTTTCAAAAAAATATCAATATTCCTAAATTAATTCTAAAAATGCTGCAATAAACTTACATTATCAGGATGAATATTTATTCTTACACCAAGTTTCGTTAGACCAGCATTAGCTAGTAGATCCAGTAGCTTCACTAAAGCTGTACACGTTGCTTTCGCTACGTTTTCTGCTAATTTATTTATATCCACCGGGTCGTGAACACCATTTGGACGATCATGAGACTTTAAAAAAATATTTAACATTACATCTCACGAATGAATACGATAAACGATTCATAATTTAATGTATATTCTTATTTATACTTACATGAATAATAAATACTTCAGTCCACCGGATAAATCTACTCGTTCCCTTGAAATCGGTAACATTGCGTACTCTGATTGACGGGATATAATCCATAGATTGTCCATCGATAGGACTTTTCACTCTGAGAACAGGTCATATAAACTTTAATAAATAGCTCGTACTCAAAATGTATAATAATTAAAAAAATGCTTACCCCAAGTTGAATTGCATATCATTACGGACCCATTTTATAGTCACTGTTTCATCCGGTTCAGGTGCTCCCTGTCGACCACAACCAATCGTGAAGTCCTGCATATTTTTTAAAGCTGCTTTCAAGGCTTCCATTTTTTCCGGCATTATTTCTACCATCAATCCATCCTCAACTATTGTGGATTTTGCTGATAGACCCATCGACGATTTCAGTGCTCCATTGATAACAATGAAACTTGTTCCCGTTACTATATCGATCAACCAATTATTTTTCAAACATTCAAGGAAATAATCTAAGTTCAAATCTAACTAAATGACATACCTATTCTTGGTTGATTATGATGCCTACTTATCGCTTGTGTTTGATAAGTGCTTTCATCGCCAGTGTTAGTTTGTATACAAACGAAATGCGAGTCAGCAAAGATATTAAAGTTTGAGGCGTACGCTAATACGTGATCATTGGAATTATTCAAGCCCTTGATCACTTGATCGTATCGATTTCTCGGAAACATTACGTACGACATTCTGTTCTTCAAGTGAATAGTCAATCCTCTTACTGTCGGTAATGTGTATGCAAAGTTTCTGAAGTCTGCTAAAACTTTCATGATCGTGTGCCCTATCTCGAAGTATAAAGCGTCTCGAAACCGTACAGAGAACAATGGGCAAGGATAGTAACGATATTCTGCTCCAAACCGTAAAACGAGACGTAATGGAAATATCTTCGCCCATGGTGTTTCCCATCTGTAAAAGTTAACAATCATATTTGAAGTTAAAAGGAATTATATGCATGAATTTTTATTAATTTACAAACCTGTGTACTAAAAGACCAATTAGGTACGGAGCAGAAGGTAATACAATTTTTTGTAAGCACTGTAACGTTTGTCGTATGAACAAGAATCCTGAATGCTCCCGAGAATCCAAAAGATTTCCTCCCTGATATATCGAAAATCCCATCTCAGACACAATGTTTCCTGCATCATGGTCATCATGAAATAATGTTTTATAAAATTACTTCAAGTGCAAACATTACCTTTGATAGCTTCAAGATATAACTGATTAATAAAAAAGAGAAGATCCTTTGGAACACGGGTTTCATCAGGCAATACTTCAATTAAGAATATAACTTCATCCTGTCCGACGCAATCCAATCCTTTGGACGTCACATTCCAACATATTTTGTTTATGCAACAATTTACTAAAAACAATGCATAGTATTCATTGATAGTCCTCTTACTAGCTGTGATTACTTTTAACTTGTACTTACAAGTCAATATTTTAACATAAGCGTAGAGATTCCGATTAATGGCAAACATGACTGGTGGTTCACATTCGTTCTTCAGCGTTTTATAGAGAAGGCCCTCGTCCGTCACAGCGTGAAACGATACTTCTGTTTTATGAAATTAAATAAAATTATGTAATTTATATACAGAGCTGCCGAAAGATATTACAACTTACGTCCTTTATGTATCGTTACTGTAGGTGGTAGGGCGGTAGGATCTTGTGGCACAAAGCTTTCAGTGTTTGGGTCTAAGCGCGGCACGTTCTGCTTCTTGACAGAGGTACTTGGTATAGACGATCCAGTCGCTGACATCCTCTTGTTCTCTGACTTCCGGTACAGCTTCAGATCCCAGGATATGTCTAGTTCTGTCAGGTCACAGCCAGGCCTTATTCCTGTGTTTTAGTTAGAGGTGCATAAAACCAAAACAAACAGGAGGGAACAGGTCCAGTGAAAGGGCGATGAACTTTTAGGAGGCAGAAAATAAAAAGTAATATTGCATTGGACACAGGAGCATAACTTCAACTCAAACAACTAAAAGTATAACTGCAAGGTATGTTAAGTATAAAGTGTAAGGTTATTGCATTGTAAGTTGTCGTAGATTTATAGAGTATAGTCATATTAGAGTATAGTCATATTATAGTTCAATTTAATTGTTAAATGATTCATAATATATTTAATAAACTGAAGTATTTACTCACAACAAAGATGAACACTTTAATTATGTATTTCGTTTTTTTTGTTTTTGATAACTCTGTATATTGTTTAATATCATGTAAGGCTTTTACCTACCATCGCTGAACATAACAGATTTTGAAATTTCTGGCCGGGTTTTTGTACCACCTTCCCTTTTAAGGACTCCAACAGGTACCATAACTGTAGGGGGTGGAGGCAATCCGCCAGCTAACTGTTGCAAGGGTGGTATAGTTGAACAGTACTCCATGGGATTATTTGGGTTAGGCTGTCTCTCCTATAACCATTTGTCGAATACTCCTAACATTTACATTTACCTCTTTATCCAGCAAACACAGATCATGCATATAAAATAGCATAATACTTTTTACATCATTTTTTCTTGTCATAAAGCAGTATATTTTCATATTTTTTCAGTGTTTTTTTTATGTTAATCTAACAGACAATTATATTTCAATATCTCAAAAAGAGATTATTATGCCTCATTAATTATCTTAAATATACTTTCAATTGGGATTCCTTTATTTTAAAATATTCGGTTTAAAAACAATTTTATTTGGTTTATAAAAAATTCTTAAGAAGCTTAAATAAAACAAGTAATACTAGCAGTGAAATAAGTAAAATTGTACAGGATATATATTTGATAAAACATAAATATAGAATTCCAAGCAGTTATTGTTAATATCAATCTGTATAATTTAACTAATTCAACCATAAAACTCTGTGTTTACTGGACATTAACTACTATTAAAATATTAAGCAGGCAAGTAATTTTTAACAAATAATGCTACAGTTAAAACACATGCTTTATATTTGCAATGCATGGAAAAAGAAAAAAAAAATGTCTATAATATATATAAGAAACATAATACAAATAGGCAAAATGTATTACTGCAAATTCATTGTTTTTAATGATTTAAAAACTAATTGAACATTAAACATCTTTTCTCATGTCATTTTTAAAAAAAGATTGTGAAATTTCTATTTCAAGTTAATATCCTCATATAAATTGATTTCAGATAGCAATAAAGAAGTATTCAACAAGTTGTTATAGGTGATTATCAAACTTATACTAACATTTAAATTAATTTACAACAGGCAAGGTTTTATTTAAATTTAATTTATGATATGATTTCTCTTAATCAAAAATTTAATAGTACAATATTTTTATAAATAACTTAACCATATTAATGAAACAGAAATTAAATTTTAAGTAGTTGAAGGTTATAGTAAAATGCTATATTAAAATTAACAAAAATATATGGCTAGCTACTATTGGTTTATACTTTATGTTAAGGTCATAAAACTGTTAATATTTACTAATAGAATTTATGAATTCATACATTAAAAAAAGAAAAAATACATAACAATCTTTTACAAAATAGTCTGTAACCAACATACCTGAGGTGAATTAATATCATTGTTATTTGCACATGTAGAGTAACTAGAAGACCACTCTCCCATGCCTTGTTCTGCTTCAGCTAAAAAATAAAAATTTGATTTCTTTACATTCTAAAGAAGGTATTAAAATGTTTAAAATAACATTAATTTGATGGAATTACCTTTAGTAAGAAGCTGATAACAGGAAACACAAACACGGGAATCAATATTCCCCTGATATTCTAATTTGTATTTCATACTACAACATTTATTACATAGCACCTTTCCACATGCACGACAATGATGTCGTCTTTTGAGTACTGTAAATTTAACATCACAGAGCATACAACTGGCTGCATCACTATCAGGAACCCAGAATGGAGGTTGTTTTCCCAAGACTGAACTAGATTCTGGTATAGAATTTTCTAAAATATCTGGAGAAGATCCCTGCTCTTCCTTTGTACCATTAACATCTAATTGTGCTTGACCTGATGATATATCATTTGAAGAACCAAGTGCTTGATGTTCATTACTATTATTTGTCGAAACAATGTCCAAAGTCTGGGGACGTGCTGGCTTCTCTGATTCATCACTGATATCATTCACATTTGATCTTGCAGAAACTTCTGCAGATGTAAACACTGCATCATCATTATGTTTTGCTTTATCACTTAATACTTTTATTTCAGGTGTCATTGAATTTCTTTTTTCAGATGTACTATCAATATCACTTTGTATTTTTAACTCACAAGCTTGACTATGTTGTGCAGAACTTCCTTGCTGTTCTTTTAACTCCTCAGCCTTACTGTTACTTAGTGATCCCTGGTTAACATTTAAATTATACATAGAGTGTTCTTGGCTATCCCTTGTAGTTTTTGCATTAGGCACACTTTCATTTTGTAGAGTTACATAAATCTCTTCCAATTTCACCTTATCATCTTCAGCTACATCAGTTGTATGCAATAATTTTACTTCTTCACTATTTAAATGATTTAAAATATCCCTAGGTTTATCTTCATTTACTTGATCATCATGCTGTTGTACATTTTGTTCCTCTAATGTTTCACTCAATATTTCTTTATCTGTTTCTTCTTTTATATAGTCCTGCTTGTTAGAATCTTCTTTTAATTTCTCCTCTTCTTCAAGTTCAGTCAAATACTTAGTTAATTCATCCTCTGATAAATTATCAATATTACTAAATCCAACTGGTTTATGCATTGGAATTAAACTGTTCTCATACTTTTCAGTTATATCAGTATTTTCTATTGTTAGTTCTTCCTCACTCTCTTGTAACTGTGTTGCAGACTCCTCCTTGCAGTAATCACTCTGAGCACAAGTACACTCAAGTGGAAAATTATTTTCTTGATTCACACTGTCTTCAAAATGATGTGCTTCATTTGTAACTTCTACTTTACTATTTAATTCAGCACAGCTTTCAGTAACTGTAACATCTTCAGGTAGTTCTGTTTTACTTTCCAATTTTTTAACACTTGTTACGTGGTCTTTCTTTACAATATTTTCTTTGATACTAGTTTCTTGTGGAATAGGCAACTCTAATGTTACAGGCATTGTAACATCCTGATGACTTGAAATGGAAGCTTCTGTAGTTGAATTGGTTACATCTGCCATTTGTTTATGTGCTATACTGTCTTTACTAGTGCTTTCAATTGACTGAGGTACTTCATTTTCATGGTAAATAGTTTTAGATTCTAAATCAGATTGTACTTCCTGCTCATCTAATACAGAATGAATACAATCTGAACTTCCAGGTGGAGCATTTATGTATTCATTTAAACTACTGAAAACATTGCTAACACTAGGTTTCAGATTAAATTGGTTCAATTTTTTATCATACCTATTGTCAATCTTTGGACTACTGCTACCATTTTGTTGTTTTGGCATCAATTTTAGTGTTATGTCATTATATATTGCCTGAGAATCCTGTTCATAGTCGTAAGGTGGAATAGATTGTTTTTGCACAACTTTACTATGATTTGCACATTCCTCTGTATAAAACTGATTTACATCTGTACTTTCTATTGTCGTTTCCTCTGTGTTGTAATTGAGATTGTCAGAGCCTATATTTTTTTCACTCGCACATTTATTTTTTGTATTTATCTGCTGTGAATCTTTGTGCCTTTCTAAGGACAATATTATATCAAATTCTTTATTGGCTTTTTTAGGCTCTATTAGAAGATAGTTATAAGTTTTTAAAGCTGATGGTTCAAGATTACATTTAACTGCAGATGAGGATGCATTATTTACTGAAGGATTAACTGATGCTATTTGCTCTGCACAATCTGAAAGAGATGTTAAACATGATTAAAAATAATACAACAAAAAAAAAAATTATTCCTCAAAACAAAATAAAATATTATCTAAAAATATTAGTTCATCTGATCTTTTCAAAAATAGTATTAAAAAATTGTGAGAAAACAAAATCTTGAACGCTACCATAATTTCCCATATATCGGTCCGAAAATAAATTGCTGAATGATAATACTTACCTTCATTAAATTCAAAATCGTCTAAAACCTTGTCCAAATCAATAGCAAATTTTTCCATTGCGTCGCTAATGTTGGTTACGCTAATTGTAAGGTCATTTAATAAACATTCCAATCCGACTTCTGATAATGATAAATACGATTTCGTTAATGGTATCCGTCGGAAGAAAGATGCACGATGTAATTTTAGATTTTTCTACTAATTATTCGTCAAGAATGATATTAAACAGAGAATATCAAATGATGATCGACTGTCACGTTACTTGTACAACATTTTCAAAGGTTCGACGAACTTTTTACAGCAAATAAATCATTCCGTGTTACGAATCACTTTGCATTAGATGTCTTCAGTCAATACATATATCTTTGCGAATCGATTTCCCATCATTATCCATGACGCGCAGCCGTGACGTAAGTGTAAAAGAGAACGATTAGAATGGTTTGACTCACGTGTAGATAAATAAAACATAAAAATCAAAATATATTCATAAATTTTCGATCATCACGTGGATTAATTGACAGCGCAATAAGTACTCGCACATACTGGTGCACTACTTGCCCATAGAACTGTCATTCTCTACAAGCAGGGACAATCGTTTTCCTATCGATCAATCGAAATTTTCTTTGTATATTTTCGATCGATCGATTATTTAAACATTCCTTGGTTATTTTTTTTTGTATATAATATGAAAATATTTTAAGAAAATACGATATTTGCTAATTTTATTTTCGTTTTTTAATAAATTAAATGTAATAGCGAAAATATAAATTTAAATAAATGTAATTTATACATGTGTGAAATTTCTCTAGGAAAATATCACTACAATAAATTCATAATTTACGATTTTATTTTCTTCATAATAAAGTTTCACGTACTTTATATATAAAATGAATGTAATCACAATTGATTAAATATTTTTTAAATGCACTAAAGCGTTAATAAAATATATTCATTCATTAAGATTATTATGAAATTCTAATTTAGATCATTTACAGTTGTCTACCTTGATTTGCCATGTTGTGGAAGCTTGATCTTCTTTGCACGTGTAATATCGGCTGATTGATATACATACATGTTTGAATTTAAAGAATAATATCTTGTTTTTTGGTATAATAAATAAATACATAATTATTGAAATATATTCTCATGCAATAAAAATAAGTAATATGTTGACAACAAAAGTATTCTTTAGAAAAACTAAAGGAGGAAACGTTTTTAAGGTATAGTAAATAAAATTAAAACGCTTGACACTTGATGATTTGTGTTAAACCTTATGTAAAGTAGTAAAACATTTGAAATTATGTAAACGCATTACTTTGTTAAATTTTTTATAATAAATTAAACGAATTGTATTAATATCACTATTGAAATCATATTTTTGTTATTTTTTAGACTGTTAGGGAACATTACCTTAGAGATGACATTCACTGTGGTTCTAAGGCTTGCACAAAATGTTTTCATAGAACTCGGAATGTAATATTAGATGATGAAGATTCAAGTGCAAAAAGCTCTAAAATAACACACCCTTATTATTTACTGATGGATACTAATATTATTTTAGATCAGGTAAGTATATCCTTAATTCAATTTTTTAAATGTCCATAATATAGCATAATTTATTAATAATTATTTTTAATATGTGCAAATGCAATTTAGATTGACATCTTAGAAGAAGATCTTATTTCTAATGTTATCATTTTACAAACAGTGTTGGAAGAGGTAAAGCATAAAAGTTCTACTGTATATAAAAAGTTAAGAGATATTATCAATAACACACGCAGGAAATTTTATGTGTTTGTTAATGAACATCATAAGTATGTTAAAAGTATTTTATTTATTGCTATAGCTTATGTTGTATATTTTTTTACTAATGATTCCTTATTATTTTTATATAGAGAAACTTATATTGAACGTAAGCCTGGTGAAAGTGTAAATGTCAGAAATGATAGAGCAATTAGAGTTGCAACAAAATGGTATAATACTCATCTAGATCTGGACAATTGTAAAGTTACAATTGTCCTGTTAACAGACGATACACAAAATAGAGAATTGGCAGAATCTGAAGGAATACCAGTTATTTCAAGTAAAGTTCTTCAATTAATACATTCAGGAGAATTTTAATATCCAGTTCAACTTATACTAATATCATGTTTTAGTGGAAAATTATATTACATCACTAGAAAATGCTGGTTTTTTGGTTGATAAACTATGCAAAAAAAGTTATAACATGAATTCAGAAAGTCAAGAATTTTTTCCATGTCATCTTACACCATCTGAATTACACAGTGGTATAAAAAATGGGAAATTTTCACATGGAACATTTGCAGCATCGAGAGAAAACTTTCTTGAAGGATACGTGAATGTAGATGGAGTTGAAAAATCTGTAAGTACTTGTTTGTTATATTTTCACTATTTATAAATTTATTACATATATTTCATTCTAGATTTTTATCCAAGGTCGCAGTAACCTTAATAGAGTTGTTGATGGTGATGTAGTAGCAATTGAACTCTTAGCAGAGGATCAGTGGTCATCTCCCAGTGACATTGTTCTGCAAGATGAGGAAGAGGCAGATGTTGGCGATGTTTTAGAAATAGAAAAAGTGTTAGACAAATTTGTTTCTTCCAAGAAAATGCAGAAGACGCCAACTGGCAAGGTTGTGGGTATTATTAGAAGAAACTGGAGACAATATTGTGGAATACTGCAGCCCAGTAATGTAGAAGGGGTAAAGAGTCATAATTAGCTCTCATATATATATATATGTTTCTTATAAATTTCATAACCTTCTTCTTCTTTTGTTTAGAATGTACGACATTTGTTTATCCCAGCTGAACGAAAAATACCTAAAATAAGAATCGAGACTAGGCAATATGGGGTGTTGAGTAAACAACGAATCATCGTTGCCATTGACTCATGGCCGCGTAATTCCAGGTATCCCCTTGGTCATTTTGTGCGCGCATTGGGAAAAATAGGAGATAAGGCCACTGAAAACGAAGTAATACTGTTAGAGCATGATGTTCCCCATAGTCGATTTTCTGATGCTGTTCTTAGTTCACTACCGAAAATGCCATGGCGTATCACGGATGTTGTACGTATGAATATACGTGTGACAATAACGTCTGTGCAGTTCATGCAAATTAAATGTGAGTCATTTTTAGGATTTGGCACAGAGGGAGGATTTAAGACATTTAGTTATATGTTCAGTTGACCCGCCAGGATGTACAGACATCGATGATGCACTGCACTGTATAGATTTACCAAATGGTAATTTAGAAGTAGGTGTACATATTGCGGATGTGACACACTTTGTTAGACCCGGAACAGCTTTAGATAAAGAAGCGGCGTTACGAGCAACGACTGTATATCTAGTCGATACGAGAATTCAAATGCTTCCTGGTAAAAATGATTTAAATTTCATTTTTATTGAATTACTTTATTGATTATACCACAGTATAGACGATGTCAATGATTACAGAGTTACTTAGCACCAATCTTTGCTCTTTGAGAGGAAACGAAGACAGGCTCGCGTTTTCTTGTATATGGGAAATGGATAGAGACGCTAATATAGTTAATACTAGATATTGTAAATCCATAATTAATTCGCGAGCAGCGATGACTTATGATGAAGCTCAATTAAAAATTGACGATGCATCCCAGCAAGATGCGCTTGCAAAATCATTAAGGAATCTTAACAGTTTAGCTAAAAAATTAAGAAAGAGACGTTTGGAGAATGGGTAAATAAAATAAATAAATAAAATAAATATGTTAATGAATCGTGTATAATTTTCTTTTTATTGCAGAGCATTAGTATTGGCGTCTCCAGAAATCCGTTTTCAAGTTGACAGTGAAACACATGACCCCATTGATGTGAAAGCGAAAAAGCTGCAAGAAACTAATTCTATGATAGAAGAATTTATGCTGCTCGCGAATATTTCAGTTGCGAAGAAAATTGTAAAGGAATTCCCAGAGTGTGCGGTGTTGAGAAGACATCCTGAACCACCACCTGCCAATTTCGAGCCTCTTATAAAGGCTGCAAAGAATCAAGTAATGGGAAGATGTTAATTAAAAAATCAATAATTTAATTAAAGAACAATGAATTGTTCTCATCGTAGGTTTATTTTAACAGGGTTTTACTATAAATGTTAATAGTGGCAAAGAATTGGCAGAATCATTAGATATATGTCATAAAGAAGGCAACCCCTATTTTAACACTATGTTAAGAATACTCGCCACACGTTGTATGATGCAAGCTGTATATTTCATCAGTGGAATGGTTCAACCAAATGAATACTTTCATTATGGTTTAGCGTGTTCTATTTATACTCATTTTACATCGCCCATTCGAAGGTAAAAAAATATACTGTATTATACAAGCAAGTAAAGTTTTATTCATTTATTTTATTCTGTAGATATGCAGATGTAATGGTTCATCGTTTACTGGCAGTCAGCATTGGGGCAGATGCTACATATCCTGAATTATTAGACAAAAAGAAATGCCATGCACTTTGTCATAATCTAAATCATCGTCATAGAATGGCTCAATATGCTGGTCGAGCATCCGTAGCATTAAATACACACGTTTGTATTTAGTTATACATTTATAGATGTATCATTTAGTTATATATACGTTTCTTACTACCTTTTCTTAAATTTTTTCAGTTGTTCTTTAGAGAAAAAATTCAAGATGAAGAAGGATATATACTTTTTGTTCGAAAGAACGCGCTACAAATATTGATTCCGAAGTATGGTTTGGAGGGAACTTTGTATTTGACCGACAAAAAATCAGCATCGACTGTAACATTCAAATACAATAACTCTGATCATTCGCAAACATGGGGAGATATTGTATTCCGCACCTTTGATCTTGTCATAGTGCAGATAAGTTTGGACAGATCCAATGTACAGCACGAAAAGTTAATATTTAAGCTGGTAAAACCATATGTAAGTAAATAATAATGAATTTAAAGAAATTATCCTAAATTATTTACACGTTCAACTATTTATAAAATCGCGTGAGAATAGATTCCAGGTTTCAGTGTTCCCTCAGAAAGTTCAGAAGGTTATAAACTTGGATTGGAAGAAAGTGCAAGAGAAGTGCAAAAACGGAAAATAGATACAGAGAAAGTACCAGACGAGAACGTTAAAAGTGGGAAAAACAAAAAAAAGAAGAAGAAAAGGAAACAGTAATTCTACAGTATATTTTTCCTTTCAGAGTACTCTATTTTTGACTGTTTTGTACATTTTGACATAAAAAAAGACAAATAAATATGTGTATATACATTTCATTTATGTGTATTAAAAAAACAAAGAGGGTAAAAAGTATGCGAATATTTTTGTTTTAAATAAAACATTATTGAAAAGCTTTTTAAAAGTTGCATGTTTCTTAATAAAAAAAAAAATTTTAAATATCTTTAATGAACTACAGTAAAAAGATTGATTACAATGTAAACACAAACGTATGGTAGTTAGTTATAACTTTTACACAAAAATGTATATCAATGCATTGTACATATACATACATATACTTATACGCATGTACACGTAACACGAGTAACTTAACAACTTTTATATATTCAAAAATTAAACATACAAAATACAGCAAAGAATCTTCGTTTTCTTAGAAAGACATAGTGTCTTAAAAAGAAGGCATCCTTTTGCATACATTTTTTTGCGGAAACTTCCACTCTATTATGATACTTTTTCGTTGCGCCAAAGAATGGAATTTCGTAGTACCAACATTATTGCGTGACTAGAGATATTTTTTGGTAAAATCGAACTTAAAAATTAGAACGTCATTTGTTATGCTGTCGTAGATCGTTCCACTTATTTCTTTTGGATTTGTTGCGTCGGTAATTCGGTCATACGCGGCAAAACGACGGAACGTTCTCGAGTTGAAAGTTGGTGTTTTGATGTTTGTAGTTCCGGCGAAGTAGAACAACGAAACAGACCACGGGGGTCGCACGCGGGGTACCGATACGCGTGTACGGTGTGCGCGGATATCATAAATAATTATTTTTTTAAACCCCGTCCCAATTGTAATTGCGGTTAAATCGAAGTCCTGCACATAACGTAGCGTGATTTCCGTGTTCGATTAATCCACGAGGCCGGTTCGATTACTGAACTCTAATAAATATGGCGAACAGTGTAGCACCAGATTCATGGGAACAGCAGGCGGATAACGGAGACATCGCTCCACCACAGGATAAGTCCATCGAGAGCAAATTTTCTACTCTTAACGTAAATGCTGCGGAATTTGTGCCTTCCTTCTGCATTAATTCTTCACCGCAGAACAGTAACACGGCCGACAGTTCCTGCAATGTCGCTGTCATGATGAATACTGTAACCACCTCTATGCCTCCTGAAATACATCATGGTTAGTCTTGAGATAAAACTGGATTAACCATGAATCATGCATTTTTTTGAGTTATTTACAGGGTTTTTATATGAAGATGTAGGGTTCAGATTCTTGTCATTGTAAGTGATCTGTAAGAGAACTGTTGCGGCTAACCCCCATTACTATTCCTCGCATATTGGTTCTTATCTATTTCATATTTGTCAATATAGAATATAAGCTGACAGAATGTTTTTATACTTAGAGATATGTCTATTGTGTTATTGCAAATTAACTTTGCTAATTTCATTTTTTAATAAAGGATAAATGTAAAAAGCGTGCTTGAGCATGATACGTATACATTTTACATTAACTCAATATTGTGCAATGCTTTAAACCTGCACTAAATTCAAAGCATTTATTCATGTCAGTAAGGGCATGAAGTTAGTTGTTGAATATATTTAAAATGAATTGTATAGTATAGTGATTTTTTTCTATGTAATGAAATTGCTACTCCAATCAAAATATTTATGTATCAATTATGACATTTATTTAATAAAAATACTTCAAATTGACACGAAGAGCTATTATGTATGTAGTGGTAGAATATTAATGATGAAAAACTTCAAAAAAGTACTTTGATTATTATGGTCCCATTTTATTTATGAAAATATTTTATTAAAAAATTTATTTATTTACATTTTAAGAAGGAAAAATTTGTTTCTGCCTTATTATTATATATCGCACATGACAAAAAGGTGTTTGTTACAATGTTTTGTAAATCTTATAACAATGTATTTTACTCTTTTTTTTATTTGTTTCAAATAAATATATCATTCCTATACCCAATGAATAAATAAAATGTTATCAGTGAAAATAACTTACTATATTAAATACATATTCCATAAACATTTATGGATATAGAAAGTTCATTATGCAGGATGAGGTGAAACATTGTAGAGAAACCATGTGAATTATGAAAAGCAGTTTTAAATATTTCCTTAACTCATTAACTTTTAGTCTACATTTTTTATTTTTATTTTGGTAGAAAAGTTTTAGTTTCATTTCAAGTTGTATGTGTTTATTGCAGGCAATACTACACCAGTGGTTCTACCAGATCCAGTGGGTACCCGTGTGGAGGAACCACCTGCTGGGGGAGGGGCTCCACCTCCGAATGTTTCCGATCAAATAAATACTAGCCCTGAACATCAACCAGCTGATTCTTGGGAAGAAGCAGCAGTAGATGGCGATCCTCTTTTAACTCCTGAAAATGAAGAAGTATGCTCAAGCTTTTATAAATAGCCTGACATACATAGCAGGAGCTCTTTTAGACTTTGGTTTATTTAAACTTTATCGTGGCATAGTTTTATTTTCAACATTGTTTCTAATAGCAATAGGAAGAAAGTATCTATTACATA